ATGGGTGTGTTTGTGAAAAAGATAAATCTAACATGTTCACTGTTAATGATTGGTTCAGGGCAGGCCCAGTCTGATGATGCATGCCTGTAGTCTCTGGTACTCCAGAGGCAAGATGATCGATTGAGTCTCAGAGTTCAAGGCCAGCCTGGGTAATATAGCAGATCCTATCTCAAAAAGGGAGTTGGGTTACAGAGATAACTCAGTTAATAAAGTGGATGCCAGACAAGCATGAAGATTGAAATTTAGTCCTCAGCACCCATGTTAAAAAAAAAAAAAAGTTGGTGCGTGGACTGGAGAGATGGCTCAGTGGTTAAGAGCACTGGCTGCTCTTCCAGAGGACCCGGGTTCAATTTCCAGCACCCCAGCTCACAACTGTCTGTAACTCCAGTTCCAGGGGATCTGACACCCTCACATAGACATACACGCAGGCAAAACACCAATGCACATAAAATAAAAAATAATTAATTTTAAAAAGTTGGTGCAGTTTAATCTGGGGGGAGGGGGAGGCAGGAGGTTCCTTGGGGCTTGCTGGCCAGCCAGCCTTGCCTAATCTGTGAGCCTGTGAGCCTTGGATTCCAGTAAAGGACCCTGTCTCAAAAACCAAGATGGACAGCTCCTGAGGAACAATACCTGAAGTTGACCTCTGGCCTCCGTGCACACCACCACAGACATGTTCATCCATAAGAACACACACACACACACACACACACACACACACACACACACACACATATACACACACACACACAAACGCGCTCGGGGGGGGGGGGGGGGGGAGGGAGGGAGGGAGGGAACTTCAGAGAGTTGGAGAGTACAAAGAGGACATATCAGCCGGGCGGTGGTGGTGCACGCCTTTAATCCCAGCACTCGGGAGGCAGAGCCAGGCGGATCTCTGTGAGTTCGAGGCCAGCCTGGGCTACCAAGTGAGTTCCAGGAAAGGCGCAATGCTACACAGAGAAACCCTGTCTCGGAAAAAAAAAAAAAAAAAAAAAAAAAAAAAAAAGAGGACATATCAGGAGGACATATCACCCTCAGCTGGTACCCCCCAGAATGCCATGCTGCTCTGGCTTTGTCAGCCCCTAAATGAAACCCAGATACACAGTTCCTCTTGTTTTCCGTGTATGCTCCCCAAATCAGCTCCCCAGCTTCTCCTGACCTCTACGCTTCTGTGGCCTGAGAAGTCCAGAACGCCAGATGGGGAGGGTGCATGCTAGGCTCTTCATGACCAATATATGCTCCTGAATAAGCCAGAGACTAATCTCTCAATGTCCTGCTGTGGAGCACAATTTGGCCCTTAGGCCTTTGACACTGTCCTCTTAGGCCTGGAGGCCGCTGGGTAGCTGACTCAGGGAACATACATGGGAACCAAGGGAATTAAGGATCTGTGGGTTTCATTTAGGAGCTGGAAGCACCATCTGGGAGATGCACATACCGAGAGCCCAACTCTACCATAGAGCTCAGAGAACAGAAAACCTGGAGCTGATCACTGACTTCTCCAAGTCTCTTTCTCTAAAACGACAGGGACATTTTAGAAATAAATCTGCTGTGAAAACAAAGAGTTGTAGCTCAGGGCTGGAGAGCAGGTTCGAGGTCCTGAGTTTAACTCCCAGCTCTACACAGACAAAACCAAAGCAACCAACTAAACAAACAAATAAACCAAAACAAAAGTTATGACAGAAGCTGAAGAGAAAGCCTCTGGTTCATAGTACCTATACCATTGATATGGATTATTTTCTACTGTCAAATTAACACTACCTCTAGAAAAAAAATCTACCCACTAGATACCTTGCTTACACGATGCTGGACAAACATGGATGGAAGTCTTCCTCTCCAGACATGTTACAGTAGTGTGAAGTGGGTCATAAAATTATTGGGCTGCTGGCTGTAGTCACAAAGACACACCAGTCGTATCAGCAGTGGCCCTGCATCTATTTGCCACGATAGCCAATAGTTTTGCAGTTGGTGGCTCTCATCCATCCTACAATGGTTTTTTTCTTCCTGATTTCAATCATCAGTTGTGACCTTTTTCTACTCTTTGGTTGGTTGGTTGGTTTGGTTTGGTCTTTGAGACAGGGTTTCACTGTGTAGCTCTGGCTGTCCTGGAACTTGCTCTGTAGACCAGGCTGGCCCTGAACTCACAGAGATCCACCAGTCTCTACCTCCAGAGTGCTGAGATTAAAGTCATGTGCCACCACCCCCGGCTCTTTTTACTCTTGACTGCAGAGTGTGGGGCCCCGAGATCCCTGTGTATTGCCCATCTGGAATAGGTTTAACGAGATCTCTGTGTGGCTGCTTCACGCTTTCCTTTTCAGAGTAAGTATTGCTGGGATCACGAACAGATGAGAAACCATAGCCTCTTGGTTTGGGTGCAGGTGGAGTGGGCAGTGAGTCTGGGCCAAAGTCTGTGAAGCTTTTTTTTTTTTTTTTTCTGGGAAGAGAGCTGCCAGCTTCTCTTCCTGATTTCCCTTGTTCAAATAACACGTACAAGCCTCAGTCAGAGGAGATAATTACTAGAAAATACAAGTAGCAGCCGCTACTGCTCTGAGTCACTCCTGCACTCCAGCAGATGTTGCCATGGTTTCAAGGCTGCATCTTCTGTCTCTTTGCTCCCTCTGCCCTCTGCTCAGTTAATTTGCCACTCTGCTTCACACCCCTCCACAGTCTGTCTCCACAGACTGATGCACACTTAACTCTGTAGAGAAGCTGGCTTTTTTGTTGCTTCTTTCTCAGATGACATTGCCCTTTTCCTTTTCGGTCCTTTTGGGATAGGCTCTTAGGTAGCCCAGGCTGACCTTGAACTTGCTGTAGAGCCAAGGCTGGACTTGAGTTTCTTATGCTCCTGCCTTTATCTCCCAAGTGCCATGAATACAGGCATGTGCCACTGTACCTGCCTATTGATTTTTTTCTTGAATTAAAAAAATACATACCAAGAGATATAACAGACCATGTTAACAGAAGAAAATGAAAGTCATTAATTTGCATTTCAAAATACTGCAATTTTTACCATCTTTCCATCCAATCTTTTGGTGATGTATACTTCATAGTTGACATCATATATAGTTGTTTTTGAGATCTCACATAACCCAGGCTAGCCTCAAACTCACTAAGTAGCTGAGGAGGACCTTGAACTTCTGCCTCTGCTTCCGAAGTCCTGGGATCATAGGTATATGCCAGCACATCCACTTTTACATGGTGCTTCGGCTCAAGCCCAGGGCTTAATACAAGCTAGGCAAGCACTCTACTAACTGGGCTATCTCCTCAGCCCTAGTACAGGATTTTATATGTGTCTGGTTGCACCTGCAGTGGATCTTTCTCTGGAGCTATTAGTCTTCAGGCACTGCTTTTGACAAATCCAGTCATACATACAGGCTTGATTAATCTCTTTGTTAGGTGTGATTATCTTAAATTTCACAATGTTCCAGGCAAGGTGCATCATCTATTCATTATAGTTGTTTTCTCGTGTCCTGTAGGTGTGTGGGTGTATGTACATATATATGCACACGAGTGTGTAGCATGCATGTGGAGGTCAGAAGTCAACCTTGAGAGTCGCTCACTCCTCAAGAGTTCTCCACTCTTCTAAAATCAAGTCTCTCATTGGGACCCGGGACTCACTGTTCCAGATGGACTAGTGACCTTCCTGTGACTGGCTCCCCAGTACTGGGGGTCAAGCGCAGGTTCTCATGCTTTCATGGCAGGGACTTTACTGAGCTATTTATCTCCAGAGACTGATTTGATCTCCCTCCCCCCGTGTTTTTGTTTTGTGTTGTGTTGTTGACAGATTCTGGTTGTGTAGCCCAGGTTGACCTCAAACTTTCAATCTTCTTGCCTCAATCTCCCTAGTGCTAGGATTACAGGTGTGTACCACCATGCCCAGCTTTCATGATGACATCTGCCACAGGTAATGGGATGATAGAGGCTTTAAAAATTCCACCTTTTGTACCTTGTCAACCACTGGTGCTGCTGTAATAATAATAATAATAATAATAATAATAATAATAATAATAATAATAATAATAATAATAATAATAATAAAAACAAAGAGCCATTAGGAAATGCAGAGCTATGTCGGTGGGAGGACTGGAAAAAGGGGCCATCACCTCAGCCCTCCCTTTCCCTTTGTCTGGCGTCCCCAACGCATCACCAAGAGCCCACGCCAAAGAACTGCGGTAGCCTAAGGCTCGCACTGCGCACGCACAGAGGAAGTGGGCGGGGGCGAGAGAGAGGTTAGAGCGGGTGCAAATGAGTGCGTAGGAAAAGAATGAGGAGCACAGAGGCGGGACTTTCTGGTCTCTGCGCAACCTTTGTCTCCGCCTCCCCGCAGGGCTTCAGTTTCTTATTGGTTAAACATCTGCAGCTCCCGTTGGTCAAGGAACCAAAGGACTGGGTCTGCCCCAAGCTATGCCTGCTTCCGGAACCGCGGCAGAAATGGTTCATTGTGAAGTTGCTTTCAGGCATTGTTTAGGACATACCTTAGGGGCCTGAAGGGGCCTTTTTCTAGTACCGGAACAGTTGAGAGTTCAACGGGAAGCTTAGGAGATGCCGCCGAAGGGGAAAAGTGGTTCTGGAAAAGGGGGGAAAGGTAGAGCGGCCGAGACAATCAGGGAGCGTGGGGTGGGTAAGAAGAAGGGTGGGAGTAGGCCGGCAGCTATGGGGGTCATAAGCCTGGCAGCAGGTGACCAGGGCCCCCCTAGAGCCGCTATGGTTTATGTTTGGGGTTCTTCCGGTAAATCAGAAAATATAAGTGCGCGAGGGGCTGCTGGGGTTCGGGGAACACATGGGGTTTCAGTGCAGGCACCGTCGTGGCAGGTAATAGCTGGTGGGATGGTTCCTCGCAACATGGAACTATTTTAAGAGTTTATTACCAAAAAAAAAAAGTTTATTACCACTAAAATTTAATCTGATGAAACGCCAGCAATAAAAGGAGCCCACACTAGCGGTCGGTACAGGTCTCTTTAACAACTAACATTATGACGTGTCCTACCCACCCCGATTGAGGAGGGACTCGTGTCTTGAAGACAAATGTTGGGCACACCGCTGTGCTTTCAGGCTAGAAAAAATGAGACACAGCTCTTACTCTTCGTCATCCTGGAAGTAGTGAAGATAGTAGCCAGAAAGTACTGTACTGAATTCAGTGCTGAGAGAGAGGTATATTGTAGAAGGTGGAAAGAGGGTAAGGAAATAACCTGAAGATGCTTCAGGCAGGCCAGGATAAGCAGCGACAATAGGGTAAAGCATACTTGACCTGGAGAGTCCAGCCCCAAAAGCACCGATGGGAAACAGCACAGTTTGTGTTGCATAGCATTGCTGAAATAAAGCTGCAAGACAAATGATCGAGTGGGGAAAATTAAAGCGGGGGACTAAATCATTGGGAGTACTGTATGCGATGTTGATTAAGGTCGGTTAAGGGCCAGGAAGCCCTTTAAAGAGGTCATTTCAGTAGTTCTTGGAAGAGATAGAGGTGGCCTGAACTCTTTGGTTGTGGAAACCCAGAAAAGAGACAAATAAAGGGAGTGCAGTTGAGTGATGTCCCAGAGGCCCAAGGGACCAAGATGTTTTAAAGAAAGAAGGTATGAGAATGGGTGAGGTGCCACAAACCTGTGCTACAGCACTTGGGAGGCTGAGGCAGGAGGACCTGAGTTTGAGGTCATCTGGAGTACGTAGAGACCCTGTCTCAAAACAAAAACCAAAATAAGTGAAAACAGAATGATACGTGGGGAGTGAAGGACCAGGAGAAAGTTGTTTCCTCCATTTTGGAGATCCTCTTTCTTGTCCTTCTTTAGCTGGTTAGCTCCTGTTCCTCCATCACACATTCCCTGACTAACTAAAATGTCTGTCAGTTTCCAAATTCTCCCTCCACAATTTCTCACCTGTTGGAGTCTCAGGAAGTGATCTGTCTTCCTCACTGGAATGTGAGTTGGTGGCAGTTATGAACCCTATTCACCTTGTACCCCCAAGACTTGGAACTTAGGAATTATTTAGGAAACATTTGTTAAACTGAATACTTAATCCAGGGGTAATACTTAGACATCTTGGCCTCTAACAATTAATGTGCTGCCTTTTTGACACAAAACTTAGCAATAATAAGATGGGCTTCCAGCCGGGCGGTGGTGGCGCACGCCTTTAATCCCAGCACTCGGGAGGCAGAGCCAGGCGGATCTCTGTGAGTTCGAGGCCAGCCTGAACTACCAAGTGAGTTCCAGGAAAGGCGCAAAGCTACACAGAGAAACCCTGTCTCGAAAAACCAAAAAAAAAAAAAAAGATGGGCTTCCAATGCTTGATAACTCAAATGTCAAAAACTTGCCAGGAGGCCATCAGAGGCACTGTGGTAGACTGCAAAGATTTAGGCATAAATACATTCTTTAGGCATATATGCTTTGTAGTATCTTTATTCTTGGAGAGTTTGTATGTTAGAATTGCAAGTGTCACACACACTGTCCCAGAACATAATAGAAATTATGTAATTTTATATAATGGCAGTGTTTAGTGTTCTGCCATTAGAAGGTAAGATTTGGGATGGGGTTGGAAGAATTTGGACCAGGCTTCTGGAGCTCGTTCATCATGCCCACATTCATTTCTTTGTCTATTTTCGGTGAAGTGTTTTGGAGGGCACATTTCCTGTTATTAGAGATGAGTCATTGTAAGTTAACTTGATTGTGTGACTCACCATGTAGCCTTTTGGAGCTTGGGGCTGTAATGGAAAAATCACCTTGTATTATGAGTTGGACCTATCTATAAATGTCAAAGTACATTTGAAATGAGTCCCTGTCCTCTCTTTTCTAAAGGAGGTGCAGCCTCTGGGAGTGACAGTGCTGACAAGAAGGCTCAGGGCCCTAAAGGTGGTGGCAATGCAGTAAAGGTGAGTTATCTCACGTATCCTTTCTTCCCCGTGAGGTGGGTGTGTGGATGCATAGAAACGGCAGTGTGAGTAACTTGTCCTTAGAGACGAGGCCTAACACTAAGGGCGCAGACAGGATGATACAAAACTGGAGACCAAAGACCAGTCTCACTTTTTTGTTGTTTGGGTTTTTTTTGTTTGTTTTGTTTTTCAAGACAAAGTTTCTCTATGTAACAGCCTTGGCTGTCCTAGAACTCACTCTAAACCATGCTGGCCTCGAACTCACAAAGATCCGCCTACTCTGCCTCCCCAGTGCTGGGATTAAAGGTGAGCGCCACCACCGCCCAGCAGCTCAGTCTCACTTTAAAAGGTAGAATTTTCACACTTTTAGCACTGTTCCTTAAAATGTGTTAACTTAGGGACTGGGGTGATAGCTCAGTCAGTAAGGTGCTTGGAAAAGGGCCTAAGTTGGATCCCCAGAACCCATATAAAAAACTGGAGATAGTGGCACACACTATCTCCAGCATTGGCTAGCTAACCAGCCTAGCATAATTGGTGAGTTCCAATCCAGTGAAAAACCCTATCTCCAAAGAAAAAAGGGGTGGATGGCACCCTAGATTATCTTCTGGCCTCCACACACACACATGCTCACAAATTTGTTAGCCTTGACCATGCAAATGTGGGTGGAGATAAGTCAGCAAATAAGTACTTGAAGTACTTATCCACCCAGTCCCAGAGGAGAGTCTGCAAACAGAACTGTACTACTGTAGCTGTGTAAGAAGGCGTTTCCATGTGTGGGTCAGGGTACAGGAGGTTTCAAAGACAGGTGTCACTGCCTCCGCCTGCAAATTCAGCCGTATACATGAAGCGTAAAAGGAAGAGAAAAATGGGAAAAAAGCTGTCATCTGAACAATTCTGCTTTCCTGGGCTTGTTCTGGGTGTTTTGGATGCATGTATGTCTGTACCGTGTGTGTGCAGTGCCCACAGATGCCAGAAGAAAGTGTTAGATTCTCTGGAACTGGAATTACAGATGGTTGTTAGCCACTAATGTGATGCTGGGAACCGAACCCAGGTCCTCTTCAGGAGCAGCAAGTGCTTTTAACCACTGAGCCATCTCTCCACCCCTTGTTCTCTGTCCTTGTATGAGCATTAAATTGTGTCAGGTGGGATTCTGGTGTCCCAAGGAGAGTTTTCATAAAGCATGGTGTAGCCCAGCTACATCATCTTGTGTTCATCTGTTGAGGTGGTCATTGTTACAGCATGGGATGGGGGACATCTAGCTCTGTTGGGCTTCATGAGAGCTGGCATGTTGGTCTCCAGCATAGCATCTTCATAAAAGGTACTCTAGGGTCATTTGGGCTATGTGCACTCTTCACCGAATGTGCTGACTGTCCAAGCACCCACCCTATGAGCTACTCGAGTACATACAACTTTAAGTAGCCATGCTGGCCTCTATCGAAGTACCCAGTCCAGTGTGGCTGTATGGGAGATACATGGAAAGGAGTGGCACGTAATTAGGTAGGAGGGTAGATTGGGATTAAAATTTTATTAAACTTTTTGTTTAATGCCTGTACCTTTTACCCTAGTTCCCTCAATAGTAACAGCTTCTAAAACTATAGTTCAGTAGCATGGTGAGAATATTGACACTGATACAGAACATTGAGCTACACCCCAAGCCTTCCACCCTATATAAAGACCACTCCTGCTGCCCTTTTATAACTAGGCTCCCTACCCCCTCCTGCCTCTACTTCTACCCCCCCAACACATATACTTTTTCTTTCTCTTTTTTTTTTTTGTTTTGTTTTGTTTTTCGAGACAGGGTTTCTCTGTGTTGTTTTGGAGCTTGTCCTGGATCTCACTCTGTAGACCAGGCTGGCCTCGAACTCACAGAGATCCGCCTGGCTCTGCCTCCCGAGTGCTGGGATTAAAGGCGTGTGCCACCACCACCCGGCTACTTTTTCTTTTTGAGACAGAGTCTTCTTTAGTCCAGGCTGGTCTCAAGTTCATTATGTAGCAAAGGATGGCCTTGAATTTCTGATCCTCCTGTCTCCACCTCCCATATGCTGAAATTATAGACTTCTACCTGTCCCCTGTTTTTCTACCCCATTTTTTGTGCTGTTATTTTGAGACAGGATCTCACTATGTAGCTCTGGGTGTCCTGAAACTTGCTATGTAGACCAGGCTGGCCTCGAACTCACAGAGACCAGCCTGCCTCTGCCTCCCAAGTGCTGGAATTAAAGGCGTGCGCCACTATGCCCAATGGGTTTCTACCCCATTTTAATTCAAAGCAGCGACTACTCTGCTCTCTACTTGTGTGCATTAGTAATTTCAAGAATGTTAGATGGATGGAATCAGTTTGTGACCTTTGGTGGGGGATTTTTTTTTTCTCAGTGTAATTTTCTGGTGGTTTCATTCAGACTGTTGTGACAGTAGTTTATTGTTCTGTGTTGCTGAGTTCTGTTTCATGATATGGAAGTGCTCCGTCTGTTTGAACATTTATCTGCTAAAGGACATCTGGGTCTTTGATGTTTCCAAAGGTCCTGGGACCAGAAGAACCCTAGAACCAATGACACCCCTGTACCCACATGCTGCTCTTGTGTCAGTCACTAAGAGCTGAATCTGAGTTGCCCCTGATGAGCCCCCCTCCTTCTGTTCCCCATGTGTTCTCATAGACTTCAGGTTCTCGTCCTGCTCCCCAGTGCCTCCTAGGCCATATGTTCTGTCCTCCGCATCTCCTCAGAAATGGAAATGCCTCTCAGGGCTTCATCCTCACACTGAGGAACCCTGACTGCTTTCTCTCATACCTGCCAGATCTCAACTTGGGGTCAGTCCAGTATGCCACTTTCTCTGCACTGAACCCAAACTGCTAGGACCTGCTAGGGAGACCCAGTCTTGGTGAGGGGAGCCCCAAACCTGGTTTGTAACCTTAGCATGGCCCTCAGTGCGGCTCAGCAGCCGTTCCTATCTCCTTCAAGCCACCAAGCACTGCTGCAGTTAGCGGGCAACTTAGGCCAGTGGTTCAACCCTGCAGAGTTCAACCCTCGGGTGCCCGTGGCACCTCGGGTCTGCTGCATCAGGGTCTCTGGGCCTGGGGCCTGGGCCTGAATGTCTTCTGAAGACACTCTGGAGGTTTGGCAAGTGTGCTGCCAGAGTTCAGCAAACACCACTCTGGTGTCAGGGGTTCGTGTGAGGACTTAATGAGATCATTCATGTCAAGCACTTAGCACTTGGAAGTTGTCTTGACTATGTGTCTTTAATTCAAGAAGATATCAAAGGGGCTAATAGCAAAACTGGGCTAAGCATCTTTCTTTGAGAAAGGGCTATTTTCAGAAATCTTGAACCCAAGTGACCTGGATGGACAGCAAAGGAATCGAAAATCCCTTAAATAAAAATTTACTGGTTTCACAATAAAAACTTGTATTTTCATAATAATATTTTATAATAATTAAATTACTTAGCCATTAATTGACTTAGTTTGATAACTAGTTTCATTGCTATTACATTTAATAATTTACCAATTATTTAATATATTTTTAAAAGGAGTAGAACATCCTGATCTTCAGCTCTTATCAACAGTTATTTTCCTTGTGCCCCGTGGGTTACATCCCCAGCATCTCCTCTCTTTTCTCCCTCCCTTTCCTGTTTATTTGGAGACAAGATCTAACGCTGTAGCCCAGGCTGTGAACTCAAGTAGCTAAGACTGGCCTGGAACTCAGGATCTTCCTCCTCAGCCTCTCAGGTGCTAAGTTTATAGGTGTACAGCACCTTGCTCAGTGAGAGAGGCAGCCTAGAAGCTGTAGTTAAGTCAGATTGAGAGCTGAGCCATTGTCCTCCAGCAGGCTGTCACTTTGCTGTCCAGATTGTCTACCTGTCTCTGGCGAGGACTAGACATATTCTGTACAAGGTGCTTACCACCAACCCTTATGACCTGAATTCAATCCCCAGGACCCACGTGGTAGAAGGAAAAACTGGCTCCTGCAATTGTCTTCTGACCTCCTCCTGAGTATTATGGCATGCATGCATACAAACAAAATCACACAAAATCAATAAGTGGATTAAGTTTCTTTTAAAAGGTGTTTGTTGGGCTAGCTAGATAGCTCTGTGATTAAGGGTATGTATTGCTCTTTTGGAAGACCTGAGTTCAGTTCCCAGCAGCCAAGAGTCAGGTGGCTCACGACTGCCTCTAACTCCAGTTCGAGGGAGTCTGACACGTCTGGCCTCTGCAGGCACCTGTGTGCACTTGCACAGACCCACCCACATAGATACATAACTTAAATAAACCTTAAAGAAGCCTGTCTATCCAAGCCCTGTTTTTTTTACATTTATATATCTTGTTTGTGTGTGTGCTCACGCACGTGTGCATCTGTGCATACCATGGCACATGTGTGAAGATCAGATGACGACTTGTGGGAATTGGTCCTCCCTTCTCACCATGTAAGTCAGGTCGCCAGCCTTCGCAGCAAGTGCCTTTACCTGCTGAGCCATCTCACTGGCCCGGTAGGCCCTATTTGTGATGTGTTTGTAGCTCCTGGGTACTTCCATTAGTTGGAAAGCCATCCCTGGGCCAAGGACTCTCTAGACCCGTCTTACCCCAGATTTCAATACTTAACCCTAAGGATACTTGTCTCTAAATAATACGGGAGAAACTGGGTGGAGTGGGATAGTCCCGTAGTCCTAGAACATGGAAGAGACAGGAGGATCAGGAGTTCAAGGTCATCCTCAGCTACATATTGAGTCTGTGGCCATCTTAGACTATATAAGAACCCTGTCTCGCCGGGCGGTGGTGGCGCACGCCTTTAATCCCAGCACTCGGGAGGCAGAGGCCGGCAGATCTCTGTGAGTTCGAGGCCAGCCTGGGCTACCAAGTGAGTTCCAGGAAAGGCGCAAAGCTACACAGAGAAACCCTGTCTCGAAAAACCAAAAAAAAAAAAAAAAAAGAACCCTGTCTCAGAGAGGAAAGAAATACTTCCAAGCAGAGTTTTTCCCCACTCTGATTAAAATAGGCAGCAGTTTATTGAATGCTGTTTGCATAGCTTCCTTCACAATCCCATGGGGGACAATCTTGGAGGCTTAAAAGCATGCCCAAGGTCACACAACAGAGCTGGGATTGGACTCTGGGACCCAAATGCTCAACCATTATATTTCCTCTTCCAGTTAGCACTGAAGTACGTGGGGAAAGGTGGGAGATTCCCACAGGCAGCTGCCCACTTTCCATCAAAATCAGGGTTCTGAGATACTGCTTGATAGAGAAATGGGTTTGTAGCAGTCAGCCAGTTGGGCAGAGTTGTAGGACATTCAGTGATATGAGTTATGTGTTGTTTTGTAGTTACCTGGGATAATTCAGATGTGACTCCTGTACCAAGAAGAATCAGTTTCCTCTCCAAGCACTAACTGGACATGCTTTTCCCTTGTAGGTCAGACACATTCTGTGTGAAAAACATGGCAAAATCATGGAAGCCATGGAAAAGTTAAAATCTGGAATGAGATTCAGTGAAGTGGCTACACAATACAGTGAAGATAAAGCCAGGCAAGGGGTATGTTGTGCTTATCATTTGAATGTTCTGTGGTCACGATAGCGGTGTAAGGTAGCATGCATAAAACCCTGAGTTTGAGGCCCAGCAAAAAATAAGTTTCCTCCACAAAGGCAATACAAAGGCAGAAATTTTTTTCTATGTTCCGTCATTAATTGTAGCCATATCTTTGTTTCAAGAAAAGTAGAAATGTCTAGCTTGTGGGACTAAGGATGTAGCTACATGGTAGGACATTTGTGTGGCATGTGTGAAGCCCCAGGTTTGATTCCTAGTCCCACCAATTCTAACTTAGGAGGAGTTGCATGAGAATCATCTACACTGAAGGAGGAAAGAGGAGGGGAGATGGGGGAGGGGAATATGCTCAAAGAACATTCTATACTTGTGTGAGACACGTCCTTACGAAACCGAGGACACAGAGTCACCTATGTCTAAATGTAGGTGTGAGCGATCTTCCACAGGTCACTTCAGAATGCAGCAGTATCACGCACGAGCGCTTGTGCTCCAGCCGCTCTTAGACTTCCCCTCCCATCCGGCCCTGGTGAGACAGCTTCTACACAGCCCAGATGAATAAGTACAAGCCAGTGAGCCACTGTGTTCATAGTGGGAAAACTCTCTGAAGCTACAGGAGAACACTTCTCTTTTTAAGGTCACCTGATACCATATGTCTTTTGGATTTTTCAGGGTGACTTGGGATGGATGACCAGAGGGTCCATGGTAGGACCGTTTCAAGAAGCTGCATTTGCCTTGCCTGTAAGTGGGATGGATAAGCCTGTGTTTACAGACCCACCTGTTAAGACAAAATTTGGATATCATATTATTATGGTTGAAGGGAGAAAATAAAATCACACGAAAGACTGAATAAATGTTTTGTATTTTGTTTATCTCATGTTCGGTGAACTGTCAATGTGGGTTTGATTAGGTGGGTATCGGGATGTTCTGCATTCACTTTCAGTTATCACTTCTCAATGGCGACTCATGCAGACTCCTTTTCCCTAGTTCCCATTTTCCCCAGACTAACTTTGACCCTTAGTGTGTCCCATAAATAAGGAAATCATCTTCAGCGGAGTCAAATCTTAGGCCCCTGAAAACCTTGGGCACTAGTAGGTGAATTAGTATACGAAAAGCATAATTCAAGTTAGTCAACTCTGATCCGCCAGGACAGGTATCACTAACTAGCTCCATTGTCTTAATATAGTACCTGACAGCCAAGCAGCCATCCCACGTCAACTTTCTCCTTAAGGTCATTTTTATTATTAAGGTATGTGTGTGTTTGTGAGTATGCATATGTGTGTGAGGAGCCATGGAGAACAGAAGAGGGCATCAGATCCCCTGGAGCTGGGGTTGTAGGTGGTTGTAAGCCACCTGACGTGGGAACTGGGAACCAAACTGGTCCTCCACAAATGCAGCAAACACCCTTCTGAGCCATGCCTCCTGTTCCTCAACTTGCTCTTTAAATAAATGTTTGTCAAAGAAGGTACTTGGGGCCCTGCCAGATGGCTCAGCGGTAAAGGTGCCTACTGCCAAGTCCGGTAGCCTGAGTTCAGTCCCTAAGACCCACATGGTAGAAGAGAACTGGTAACCATAACTCGTCCTCTGCCTTAGTTAGGGTTTCTGTTGCTGCGATAAAACACCATAACCATAAGCAATTTAGGGAAGAAAGTGTTTATTTTGCTTACACTTCCATACCATAGTTCATCATTGAAGAAAGTTGGGGCAGGAACCTGGAGGCAGAACCTGAAGCAGAAGCTATGGAGGAATGGTAGTTACTGGCTTGCTCCTCATGGCTTTCTCAGCTTGCTTTTTTTTTTCTTTAGCATCCAGGACCACCAGCACAGGGGTGGAACCACCTACAATGAGTCAGGCCATCTCAGGTCAATCATCAATGAAAAGATGCACCACAGGCTTGTCCACAGACTGATCTGGTGGTGGTATTTTCTCAACTGAGGTTCCCTCTTCCCAAATGACTCTAGCTTGTGTCAGCTTGACATAAAACTAGCCAGCACATCCTCTGACCTCCACGTACATGCTGTGGCACAGGATGGACGGACGGACACACACACACACACACACACACACACACACACACACACACATACACACACACCTCTAAATGGTATAATTTAAGATTAGGAAAAAGATACTTGGCTCTCCTATGGGGTTGTCTGTACTAGACTAAGAGGTAGTCTCCAGTTGCTGGCTAAAGGGACAGAAGTCAGCATAAAACACTTCCTCCATGCTCATTGCATACTGTCCTGGTTGGGTTTTGTTTGTTTGTCAGATTGCCTGTAGGCAAGTCTATGGGACACTTTTCTTGATTAATGATTGATGTGGGAGGGCCCAGCCCACTGTGAGTAATGCCACCTCTGCACAGGTGGTCCTGGATTGTATAAGAAAGCAAACTGAGCAAGCCATGAGGAGCAAGCCAGTAAACAGCATTCCTCCATGGCTTCTGCTTCAGTTCCTGCCTCCAGGTTCCTGCCCTGAGTTCCTGTCCTGACTTCCCTCAGTGAAGGAGTGTGACCTGAGAGTTGGAAGAAGAAATAAACCCTTTCCTTCCCAAGTTGCTTTTGGTCATGGTGTATTATCACAGCAATGGAAACTCTAACACGCGTGGATTACATTATGATTCTTCTTTCCATGACTTCTGTTACCTATTTTTAAAATTGTGTGTGTGTGCGAGTGTTCAGTCATGTATGTATGTACATGTGGAGGCCAGATATTCTTCAGGAGCTGTCCACTTTAGTGGGTTTTTTTGTTTGTTTGGGAATTGGGGAGTCTCTTACTGGCTTGGGGCTCACCAATTCAGCAAGCCACAGGGATCCTCTTTTCTCTATCTTCCCAACACTGGGATTATAAACTCTTGTCCCCACACCGGGTTCTGGGGAATGAACTCACTCTTCCTGCTGTACAGCAAGAGCTTCACTGACTGAGCTGTCCCCCCACCCCAATGGTATCTACATCTCTATATATAGTTGTTATATTTATTTATTGTGTGTGTGTATTTATATGTGCAACAGAAAGTATGTGGAGGTCAGAGGACAACTTGCTGAGCTGGTTCTCTTTCCCCCATATGGGTCCTGGGGATCAAACTTAGGTCTTCAGACTTGGCAGCAAGTGCTTTTACCCATGGAGTCATCTTGATTGTCCATTATATCTATATTTAAAATTTTTTTTTTTTTTGGTTTTTCGAGACAGGGTTTCTCTGTGTAGCTTTGCGCCTTTCCTGGAACTCGCTTTGGAGACCAGGCTGGCCTTGAACTCACAGAGATCCACCTGGCTCTGCCTCCCGAGTGCTGGGATTAAAGGCGTGCGCCACCACCGCCCGGCTATATTTAAAATTTTTAACTGCTGTATTTATGACATAAAAATGTTTAATGAATATAATAAAATACCATATTGCTTCAGAAATAAAAATTTGCCAACTGAATTTTTTTTTTTTCAATCAAGACAGGGTATCTCTGTGTAACAGGCCTAGCTGTCCTGGAACTTGATTTGTAGACCAGGCTGGCCTTGAACTCAGAGATCTGCCTGCCTCTGCTTCCCAAGTGCTGGGATCAAAAGTGTGCGCCACCACACCTGGCTGCCAACTAATTTTTTTTTTTATTAAAAAATTTAACTAGTGTGAGGGTGCGTATATATGAAATGTGTGTGCAGGCACACATATCACCACATAAGTGGTAAAAAGTGAAAGCAGGACAGCTTTCAGGAGTCATTCACTCCTGCTACCTTTACATAGTTTCCCAAGATTGAACTCAGGTCACCTGACTTGCACAGTGTCTTAGTCAATGTTCTATTGCTGTGAAGAGACATCATGACCACGATATTATAAATAAAGCAAAGCATTTCATTGAGGTGGCGTGCTTATAGTTTCAGAGGGTTAGTCCACTGTTATCATGGCAGGCAGACATGTTGTGGAGAAGGAGCTGAGAGCTCTACATTCTGGATCATCAGGCAGCAGGAAGAGAGAGACTCTGGGCCTGGCTTGGGCTTTTGAACGCTCAAAGACCACTCCTAGTGATACACTTCCTCTAACAAGGCCACACCTCCTATTCCTTCTCAATGGTGCCCCTCCCTGACGACTAAGCATTCCAATGTGTGAGCCTAAGGATGCCACTCTTTTTCTCTGCCTCCCAGGTGCTGGCATTAAATTGTATTTCTTATGATTACACATAAAGTTCCATTTAACACCACACTAGGAAATAAATGTAGACCTTGTAAATTTTCTTTCAATTGTGATTTCTTAGAAAAAAGAATTGTTTCCTAGGTAGTTAATAAACTCATTCTTGAATGTTTTGTCCTTTGAATATAAATAAATTTGTAGGATTTAGGCCAATTCAATTATTTATGGAGTAGCTCTGAAGAACCAGCCTGCCTCCATTTTAGGCTTAAAAGCCATCTTATATTAAAGACAAATGAGATTCATTCCTGTTTATGATTATACCTCTGCTTTTCAAAGATTGAGCTATGCCCCACCTGTAATCTTAACTACAAATGCTTCTGTACTGCATGTTCCATGAATGGCAATCGTGTCTGTTTCAAAAAGTTGTTCGTAACTATCTTGCAACACTACCATTGTTTCTAAAGGTTATATGACCACCAATGACTACCTGTTGTTATCTCAGGAGGAACTATCTTGCTCTGCTTATGTTCTGCTCCTGTAACCCACCTCTTTTGCCTGCCAAATCCCGCATTTGGAAATGCCCAACCCTGAGCTCTGAAGTCTTAAATTCTTTTCTTCCTCACATCCAATGCTGACCTCTTGAACCCCATCTTAGAGAGAGGCAGTCTGGGTACAAGTGAAGGGTCCAGGAATATAAAAATATAAAATTGTAAACCTTGAAAAGTAAAACCTGGCAGTCTTCAGCTCTGTCAACAACTGAAGGTTAACTTCTAACAATGACTCTCTGCTTTCCAGACAGCTCCTCTGTCAACAGCCAGGGGTTCCGTCTTAACGATGACCCCTTTGCTGGGGGCCACCACACACAACAAGCACCTTTACCTGCTGAACCATTTCATTGACCCCTAAAACTGTGATTCTTTTTTCTTTTTTCTCTTCTTTCTTCCCCCCCCCCACCCCCAGCATTTCTTTGTGTAGCCTTGGTTGTAGACCAGGCTGGCCTTGAACTCAGAGGTCCATCTGCCTCTGCCTCTAAGTGCTGGGGTTAAACGTGTGCCTGGCATAACTGTGACTTTGTTTTTCAAGACAGAGTTTCCTTGTGTAGCCCTGGCTGATAACTGTGATTCTTAAGAGTGGCAGTTTTTAACACAACCTGCTCTTCCCTCAACTACATCCAGTGGTAGCCCTGTGTTGTCTCAGCTTATAAACATTGATGATTTCGCCTAGAGACTCAAGTTTCCCATTTTAGGAGTTCTGAATTTCTGCCATTGAGCAGAGGGACCACTACGACAGAACAGTGTTCAAAGTAAGCTAGGCATGGTGCTATGTGCTTGTAATCCCAGAATCTTGGGGCTTAAGTTGGTGGCTTTTAAGTTCAAGGCCAATCTAGAACAACATTGCAAGTTCTAGGCCAACTTAGGGTATAATAGCATGGCTCTGTCTCAAAACACAAATCAGAGCTCAGCTAAGATGCAATGAAAGTACTTATTGACGTAGTTTCACGTAAGATAATACTCCTTAAACCACTTTCACGTAGCTCAGTAGTAGAGGATTCATCTAGAATAAGCAAGGCCTTGAGTTCCATCTCCAGTCCACCCCTCACCACCACCCCCAAAAGAGTAATCTCACCTACATGTTTATATCAATGAATAATGGCAATACATTCTGAAAAGCTTGAAACTCCTGGTCTTTTCCTCAGGGCAGGCTTACCCAGTGTATTTGTGAATCCCTGTTGCATGGATGTCACCCGCAAAGGGAAATCAGGGAGC